GTGTGTGTGTGTGTGTGTGTGTGTGTGTGTGTGTGTGTGTGTGTGTGAGCGAGCGTGAGCGAGCGTGTGCATGTGCCTGTGAATTTCTGTGTGTTAATGAGGTTGTGTGAGCATGCAGAATCTCATTCATCTCCATCACCCCATTCATTTCCAGGCTGTCCCAGTCACCTCAGCTCTCTCATGATGACACCCACTCCCGGATAGAGCAGTATGCCAGCAGGTACGCATTGCATTCCCCAATCATCATCTCATCATCTCCGATGCCACAACCCACACACATACACGACCTGCTAACTGCATTTAAATGTAGCACATTTAAAAAGCTTCATTATAGAATGAGTAATGTACTTTTAAAGGGAAGTGATGAAAAATGACATTTAAAATAGCATATACTATATTATGCATTGGAAAGAGGGTAAAAAATACAAAAGGAAATCAAATGAAAACCCAAAACCTCATAGATGCACATGTAGTACAATGGTTTAAGGAAACATTTAAAGAATTGTTGTTTTCCTTTGACTGTAAATCATACAAATCCAAATTGTGTTGGATGTCTTTATGAATTGCCCTTGAGCTTCTTGAGGAGATGTTTGCTATTTATTCTCATTACACTATGAAACGAGTTCAACTTTTAGATCAGAATCACAAACAAAGCACGTTCTGTCTATCTATACATTCCAGTATTCATCAAAGAATCCTTTTGGGGAATATAAACTGGCTTTATTGCCGGGACTTTACTGAGACAGAAAGAAGGAGAAAGCAAGTTTACCACAAAAGATAAGAATTTTGAAATCTCTGTCACCAGTAATTATAGCAAAAAAATATATTCTCCAGTTTCCCGTCTGACAGCACCAGAACAACTGAACAATATTTCTATTTCTGTCATGGCCAGGAATCTGTACAAATGAATGCTCCACAAATGTTTAAGTGTACCTCTGAATATGGGATCGTTAATGTCAGCCTCAACCTTTTAATGCGTACACAGTGAAAAACACTGCATCTCTAGATATTATATAATCCTTGAGTGCAGTGGGAATATGCTGTTTTCAGCCGCCTCCTTTAAATGATCCCGCTGTGTACATGCCATTCATGTACACAGTGTGTGATCTGCAGTTAATCATCACCAACATCACCAAACTGGTGTCCTGCTGCACTGAGATGGAAAACCTGTCATGTTTGATATTAAGATAAGTGATCGTTAAGACCCCAAAGTATCACAAATCCCATCGTTCCCCTCGAATGCATCTCTAATCTGTCCAAAGCGTATCTTCTCTAAAGGGAACAAGGGTTACTTTTTTCAAAACAGAACCCGGCGTCCTTCCACAAAAACGCTTTATCATGAAGGCTCTTCTGATGCAGCGCTGCTCTGTCTGGCCTGTAACCTTTCATTGGTCACACACCATTAACCTTCGCTCAGCGTTTTTCCGCCTGCATTGTTTTATCAGCGACGACACAGACACAAGCCTTTTGAATTACAATTTTAACTGAAATCTAGATGCTGACATTGTAGATTATAGCGTAGCTTATAGATTTGCACGGAGAAATGCACACAGTGATGAGGTTTAACCAGTGGTATAATAACTTTAGATATCTCCCTCCATGCATATTCTATCACAGTTCAATTTCATCCTCAAGTTTAGTGTGTGAATCGTGTTCTTCATCTGCTGGACAAACCCTGCTGCCTCCTCGTTACATTCAGTAAATAGAAATACAGGCTTAGATCTGAGGAACCGGCCTCATTAGCATGGCAGCTTTGTCTGAATATATGACCAGAAAAAAACAGTTCCCCCATGTGCACACACACACACTCACAAAAGATATGATTGTGCACACACATACTAGACCACAAAGACATATTTGGTCATTCGTCATCGAGACTACATTCTTTTCAATTTTTATTGGTGTGCTACTGTGGTGTTGAGATCCTCATTTGTTGACATCGCTGCTCTGCATTTTGATGAGATGATGACGGCGTTGAAATGTCTCAGTTTTAACGGGTAATTTAAGTGTCAGCCACTGATGAGGGTTTCTTTTCCTCAGGTTGGCCCAGATGGAGCGCTCCAACGGCTCTCTGCCCACAGACAGCAGCTCAGCCACGGGGAGCATGTAAGCCACCACTGGTCATTTCTACACTTTGTATTTGTTTCTATGTTTCCTTCAATTATTGTTTCACAGATTTCCTTCTGAATGCTGCTCACATATCATACATTTTCATTATGTTCATATACACGGTACATATGCACCTTATCAGAAAATCTTCCTCCAGATGATTAATGCATTCCAGCCAACAACAACATAATTTGATGGAGGAGTCAAGTAAACTCTAAGACATCTTCCTGTGCACTGTTTACCCATCAGGGCAGCCCAAACTCTTGCCTTCCCCACTTTCAGTGTATTAAAACCAGCCAAAGAAATAAGGTGTCTGTCCGCTTTGCTGAAAAACAATCAAGAGAGAGTGGGTGAGAAATGAGGATACTTTTGAGAGAGCAAAAGAAATGTGGATTGAGGGGGAAAAGACAATGGGATGTGGTTGAATTCAGCAGGGAAGGACGGGGCTTTTGTAGAACTGTAATGGATTACAGTGCCAACAATGAGAAGTGAGAGTGATTGGTTTCAGGATCTCTGATAACGATCAGTTATCTTTGATCAGAGGAGATGAGGACATGGCAAAGAAGAAATCACAAAAAAAGGAGGGGAAAGCTGATGAGGTGCACAAGGTCTGAAGTTTCTGGTGTGTGTGTGTGTGTGTGTGTGTGTGTGTGAGTGTGACGTGTCTTCTGCAAGCCATTCGAGTTGAAGGGCATATTTTTCCCTTTTCCTAAGTGAGATCCAAATCGGGGGAATGAGCTCTTGAGATTCAAATGCCCTTTGAGCTCATGGTCACACTTGTTCAAACTAAAACACACACACATGGGCTCACACTTTTCCCTCTGTTCTTGTCTTTGGGGGGAATGACTTTTCGTTCTGATAGCCTGCTTTGATAAGACACTTGTAGATCACAAGATTTCCCAGATCATAGATCATTATCGTACTTTTGGAAATTAGCTGTGTGTGAAATTAATTTGTGCATGAAAATGTAACCGATACGAAGAGGGGTGCAGAAGATGTTGTTTTTTCTCTCAAGAATTCCAAGTAGCACAAAGCCAAAAGTGTTGTAAAGTCTGCACCTGGAGAGAGAAGCGATTCCCTGTATGGCATGTAGGAAAGGAAAAACAAGTTTTGGTATTTTCAAATAGAACATTTCTAATAACAGGAGTACTACACATGGGAGGACGGTTGAAACCTTTGAGAATCTTGAGTGAAGATGAAATGAAGCATCAACAAGCTTCCTTCTGTCGTAGGTTGCGTCCCCTGCTGATGTGCCTGCATCACGTGGACCACTGCTCTCATGCTCTACCTTCCTCCAACCTTGCCGTGTAGAATAGAGCTTTTAGAAACACAAGTGTTCGATTGAAGACCCCCAAAAAGCTCTCTTTGCTTTTCAACTGATCAATACAACGGCAGAGGAAGGAAAAGACACAATGTGTTGGTGAGCACGAGAAGGTGGATTTATTTTTCCTCTCCGAGCTTTCGTAATGCGGGACAAACGCATTATCCCCACTCCTCCTTTGTACTCTTATTTAAGAGAAGAAGCCATTATCTTTGCCAGCTCTGACATAACACTGACGCTCGGTGTGTAGAGCGCTAATGATATGAGGGAGATGATGGTTTGATGAAGCCTAATGGCTTTAACAGCAGAGGGGAGAAACACCCACCAGGGCACATTTAGAACATAATCATAGTTCTTCTGCTTTCACTCACTTTCACGTCGGTGTCATTTCTGTAAGATTTGCATTCGGATTTACTGCAAAACAGCCACAATGTAACTGTGAAGATAAAAAAAGTGTGCCATGCACCAAGAAAAGGGAATTTAAATGCCAATCAGTAAAAATACCAGAACTAATGCGTTTCTCCAGCACACGTCTTTGACAAGAATGGTTTTATACTTATCAGCATGTGATGCAGTATAGCACCCGTGTGCGTACTGCATATGTCACATTCCCAGAAAAAAACAACCAATAATTTTTGATGTGATGCAAACACACGTTTGGTTATTATCATATATGACATTTATAACAATGCTCTCAATAAAAAAACACTTGGAGTCTAGGACACGATATACACTTTTATTTATTGCAACTTTTTGAACAGTGCCACTAATTAGGCAGCAAACAAATAAACAAAAGAAATTACATTCAATTAGTCTGCTGTTAGTATTTGTTGGTTGTGTCCAGGATAATTAACATTTTGGAATGGAGTCCTGCACTTCATTTTAACAGAGACCAAAATAATGTTGAGATCTTCAGAATGACAATTGGTACTTGTTAAAATCATCATTATAGCGCGCTTCATTTTCAATGAATAATAAAAAAAAGGCTAATTTACCATTCAAGCTATTTGCAAGTCAGCTGTGTTATAAACTTGCTCACTAAAATGTTACTGTGCTGCAATAAAATGTCCTTCACAGTAGTTGTGAATGAAGGATGAGCTGTCTTCAAAAGGCCAGAATCCGACTGTAGCTCTGTTTTTATACAGCAACATGTCCATCGAGCGCTACTTTTAAGGAAAAGGTAACTTGTAAAAATAGCATTATTGTGCTTTATAGATACCACTAAAGTAAAACAGCCCACTCAGCCCTATCTCTTCTCAAAAGAGGAGGCTTTACATTGTGTTGTCAGACTCCTCGGCCATGAGTCCTTCCTCTTCCTTCTAAAGGCCTTTGGTTTGGAGTGGTTGATTGTCTTCCCTCTCTTTTTCTGAGATTTATTATTTTCCGCCTACAGCTGATTTCACCCAAGCCTCTTTGTCTGTTACACCGCTCCATCTGGTTGTTTGTGTGGAGGACACACACATAAATGGTCTCGGTGCTTGTAGAAGGTTCCTTTCTGGCAGTGTTTGAGCTTATGAAAACATGCATAGTGGAACATGGATGACTGCATTTGCCAATTACATGCATGTTTGGCTTTTGGCTTGTATTTCCTGATTGCTCATAGCCTGCAAACACTGATTTGGACTCGCTGCCAGCTGTGCAGTGATATCAATAATTAGTATGTATGTGAGAAAGCTCTAGAGATAAAGTGTGTGTGTGTGTGTGTGTGTGTGTGTGTGTGTGTGTGTGTGTGTGCGAGCGCTAGTGGTTTCAGTGCTTGTATAGTTTTTGTCCTGTATTGCTTTCTTCTAAAAGGGAATCCTTAATTAGTTATGTTGCCCATTTTGTCTGACCTCCAGCCAAAGCACAATGTTGCCATCGATGCCTCGGGACGTCACAGAGGAACTAGACTCCCCACTTCGCTTTTTAGTTTGGTTATCTCTCGCTTTCCAGTCTTTCCCCCAGTGTTGTCCCCTTTTTTCTTGTCTTTTGATATTTTGCCCTTTTATTTCTGTCCCTCTCCCTTTCATTTCTCCAGCCCTATTCTTTTGAAACCTCCTTTCATCATGTCCCCGCCTTTCATCATTTTAGTTGTGGTCTACTCATGATTTACCTTTGGGCCCAGGAAACCTTCAGATTGAACACTAAGCTCGTAGGTAAACATTGAAATACTTTTCTTTTTTGAAGCCCTGCAACATAAATATTACACCTGGACTTTACTGTGATCAGTCCCCAAATGTGGAAGTCCCACAGGGAGGGAGATTTAAACATCTCACCAGAGGGGAGAACTGAAAGACTTGTCTTTATCTCTCATCATTTCTCTCTGAGCTCAGTCTTGGCAGTTGATTGTGCTATTCAGCTTGAGAGGAGCAGCTTGCTTTGTGATATTTCAGCAAGGCATCAGGCCCGGATACTATTGTTTTTGGATAGATAAGACTGGTAAAGTACCCTAAGCCAAGCTCACCAAGCGCCACACTCATAGTCACAATACACAATGTAGCTAATATCCTCTGCATTCATCACTATTATTCTGTCCTTTCACTGCACTTCCTCTTTCTCCCAGTATTCCAGAGCAGGTGGTTTGTGAGCCAGCTCTGCTTCCCGTAGTGCCCATCTCCGCATGTAATGATCCCCTTCCTGCTATCCTCTGGGCTCCCGTTGCCTGCCATAATGTCCTGCTGCAGCTTCCTTTTGCCAGGGACCTGACTAATTGGCCACTCAGTTTGTGCAGGACCCCGGTCCCCAGCAGACAATAATGCCACCATTGGTTAAGTTTCTCTACAGAGAACTAGGCCTTTCTTCATCATCCCTGTCTCCCTTGTTACAGCATACCCATATTTCAAATGTGTGTGTGTACGTGTGTGTTGGTTTATTGCTGCATGTTGCTGCAGAGTGTAATTTGACATTCTGTCAGCTTTCTCTGTCATTCATCAGTAACCCAGCAGTCACAGCATGGCTTCACTCTCCCCGATAGTGAAATTAGTGAATAACTACGTATAATACTGTATGTGCATGCATACTATAAAAGTTAGATGTGTAATAAAAAGGCTGCATAGGAAAGAACGGTATCAAAAGGCAAGGGAAGACCTACTGGTTACATGAGACAAAGAAGCAGTGGAATAAAAATGAGTTCCCTGTATGGAAAGTTTAATTCATGTCTCTTTCATTGTTTTAAAACTCATAAACTATATGAAAAGGTTGAACTCGACACAAATCCTGTTCCAGAAAGAAAAGAACTCTCTAAACATATGCTTCAAATCACACGGGCAGCTTGGGCTGGTTGATGGAAGGCTACTGGCTCTGCATATTGTTCCTTTTATGTGAAAAGAGGTGACAGCCTCATTCTGTGTACCTTTCATATCTGTCCAAAATAGTATAATTACTGTCATCTCTGAGAAAGAAAAAGCATCCTATACGTAAACTCTGGTATACATGTGGTGATAATGGCATTCTGAAAATTTTCTGAATGCTCATTGATCGTATCCTTTGGTGAAATTCAAGGGTGTCTTGTGTAAAAACCGGAGACATTTCAGTTTGCCAGCTTGCTCTCCGGAGCGTGTTTGATTAACTTACTCATTATAGCCAGGGATTATGCACTCACTTATGGTCTGGCCTCGATAAGAGTCTGTGAAGCAAGTTCATAGCGAGTCACTGCTTCTTCTAAAAGGTGCCAAGAGTTCCTGCCTGGATGTCACTGATTTGAGGTGTGACTTAAAGTACAGCACAGTTTTCAGCTCACAGAGGTCAATGCAGTGTTCTGTCATTGAAGCAGCTGACTTCACAACACGTTAAGCAAATAAGGAACAGCTCGCTGGTCATTACTATTAGCGATGTAAAGGAAGTTGCACCAACCTAAACTAAATGACCTGCCGTTTGCTTTAGGTAAACGGAAATACAGTATCTATTAATTGAAGGATAAATCCCTTGTATTACAATCTGGATCGTTAGGCACCCGCTCCTATTGGTTTTAGTATCCTTGTGCTCCAAGTTAACTGCTATGATCTGGAAAGGCAGCGCAACCGGAGGAAGAAATGCAAGCATTCAGGTGATCTGACCAGGATAGGCAAACAGTAACATGTCCTCCACGATTTTTACCGTAGTTACTGTAGTTTTGCACGCACACAGTTTTCTGTGCAATGATGGATCAGTCATTGGTCATCAGCTCACCATCACTTTCAGACTAAATCTTTTTGATCATCTGGTCAAACTGTTGGTTAGTTTATTGTCTGCACGCCTGTGTTTCTGTCATTGTTAGATTTTGGTCACAGCCGTCTTGTGCTATAGTGAGTAACATGTTGTCATAACCAACAGAAACAATGGCCAAAGCTGCAGAAATATCTCCATTTCGAGCTGTCAAACTGGCTCTGGAAATTAAAGTCACTCAAGCAATTGAAAGGATTATTAAATAAACGTCTGCCATCTTTTTTTTGTGCTTGTGTGATTGTCATGTTTTAGTCTTCAAGCCTCAGGTTATGTTTCAGGATGAAGGTGACAGCTGGGCTTTGGCAAGACGTGCCAGCCCCTTTCAGGTCACCGAGATAGCACATAAAGAGATTGACACGTACACACGCATACCGATACACAACGGCAGCTATTTCTCCTTCTCTCCCTCCATATCTTTCCATCTGTCTGCCAGGCTTATTCTCTTCTCGGCTCCTTCCATCTCCACACAGCCCTCCCTTATTCCAGTTATCAGATAGTAGAGACACATCTGTCTTCCGCCGTGGATCGCAGCGTGTACAGCGTAGCAGACCCACAAAAGCTGAAGATCTTACATATCATGGCAGCTAGCACAATCTTTGTTTAGATTAGGTTCTTTTGAAGCTGTCGTTTCTATTTGTATTGACAGTGAGATGTCTTTTTTTCTCTTGAAAAAAGAGAATTAAACGCTGTAGATTAAAGGCAATTTCCCCCACCGATTTCCCCCAGCTGTAATCAGTAATCAGTTTACTGTTATAAATAGTAGACAGGCAGAAACTAGAAAAACAGACGTTTAATCCATGTAATTATGGACTGTAAATAATCTGAAAGAAGTTTATCTTCTTCAAAAAAATAGATTAGAATGCTAAGTAAATCGATTTCTATTGATCTGCTTGTTTTTTTACGGTAGATTATTTGTAGCTCCTTACTAAACCTAATTAGCCGAAACCGGTATGAAGTGAAGGCGTCACAAATGTTCTTTCTGTTATGCAGTTTGTAGAGCATTACTGTGCTATATGGTCATTTCTAAGCGTCCATTCCTAGTTATTTCCAAACATAATGATTTGCAATTAGAATTTCATCATAATTCTTTTAAAGTGCAAAACATTTTCTTTTTTTCCCAGTTGCACATCGTTGCTATAAAAATAAAAGTCCTCCCTCCCTGACTGAACAGGAGGTGAATTGAGCTGAGCAACAGGGACAAGGTGTCATGGCTCCTCGCTCATCACATAACTCTCATAACTCACCTCCGCAGGGACGACGAGCATGCCCTGATCCTGCAGTACTGTCAGACGCTGGGAGGGGAGGTCTCCCCCTGCAGTCAGCCCCAGAGTCCGGCCCAGATCCTGCAGGCCGTGGAGAGGGAGGAACGAGGCGAGCTGGAGCGCATCATAGCCCGTCTGGAGGAGGAGCAGAGGTAAGGCAATAGAAATAATAATTCAGTGACAAAAGAGGTTGTTTAAGACCCAAAATATAGGGGAAATATCACGTATGCTTGGACAATCTTCCGAAAATGGGCAATGGTGTTCACTCGCAGCTTCTTGGTGTCATTTGAGTCCATGTGCTCGTCATTACGCTCCAGTGCACAACACACAAACATCCAGGCACTTCCCGTACCCCCAGTACGTCTCACACGCCAAGTCCCTCCCCGCTTTGATTAGTAAATGCAGATGGCTTGGAGACTGGAGACAGTCACTCTACGATCTATTGTTGCAGTGGTACTTTTTGCACAGCCAGTGGCTTGACTGGAGTGATTTAACACTGATTACTCACATACACAGGCACTCCGGGAGAGTGAGGAGGAGGAGGGAGAGAGCTTTACTGCCAGGCTCATGAATGCCAACTTAAGTAACGCACAGCAGCTTATGGTTCTGCACTGAGAGGGAGCGTGAGAGAGCGTGAGGCGGGACACAAGTGAGAGATTTGGTGGGGGGTCCTTTATGTTTGTCTATCTAATAGTATTTCACTGAGACAGCAGAAAGCAAAGTTAAACATGACTCTGGTATTTTTGTGTGGGGGGTTCAGAGAGGAGATTTTCAGTGATAATAATGCTATTTTGTTTTAATTTTATTAGCACACAAGGGGGAAGCTGGCCAGGGCTAGTATTTGCAGCATGACAAAAAGGCACAGCATTATGTGTAATAATAACATGAAAGGCCCGCTCTCAGGAATGTAACTCCTCTGATCTATTTATACAAGGCTCCCAGGAATACAACACAAGTCTTACTACAAAACAAGCTCGTAAAATATTCGAAGATGGACCCTTAAAAAGCATAATGAAATGATATTGAAGATAAAAATGTACGTGTTACTGCATATACTGTATATACAAGCATACTGTGCATGCACATAGGAATTCTTGTTTATTTATACTTTATATAGTACATTTATTCAAATACATATAGTTGAGTGACAGAAGCATTGGCATGAACATACTGTAAAGTAGACGCATACATGTACATACCGACACCTATGTTCATGTTCATCAAGTAAATCGCTAAAACATGTATACATATACAGACTCAACTTTGCTCTGAAGGAAAACTATGTCCTTCCCCTAAGGACTGTATGTGGGGAGAAAGATGTTTTTTTTAGGACCACAATGGAAATAAGCTCTTGGACTTTATTGAATTTTATCCTTTTGGCAAATATTGTGCAAAGATATGATGCCTCCTGGTGAGGCGGTGCGTATATGATTTATTTATATATGTCATATATTTTTTATATACTGTCAAATAAAAAGAAGGGCTTTTGGGCCTCTGCTAGTCAACAGAAGAGGAATAAATAAATTCTTCCAAAGGTTTTTCCAAAGTCAAATTTAGAATGCAGGACTTTTACTTGTAATGCTGTATTTTTGCATTGTTGTATTGCTGCTTTTCCTTGCAGTGGGTAGATAATCTGAATACTTCTTTGACCTTTGGGTGTGACAGATTTGAGTCGTGTTTCCAACCCTTCTTTCCCAGGAGCCTGCAGAAAGAGTACGAGCAGCTGAAGGAGCAGCACGGCCAGCGAGGGGCCCCTGCTGGAAGCCCCTGGGATTCGGAGGGTTCTTTTGCCCATCCCGATGAGGCTGATCTTCTGGCAGAGGCGAAGCTGCTACGACAACACAAGGGCCGGCTGGAGGGCCGCATGCACATCCTGGAGGAACACAACAAACAGCTGGAGTCCCAGCTCCACCGCCTTCGACAGCTACTGCACCAGGTGACAGAACACTTGTACAGATCTGTTGGACAGTTTTCTCCCAAGAAGCCACAGGTTTATGGCTGAGAGAAGACGGAGGTAGATAGTCATAGACTCATACATCACAAAGATACTGAGTCCCTCAGGTTAGGGTTATTTCTTGCCGTTGTGGACTTTTCCCTGACAACTGCAAAGTGGACTTGTTTGAAATGGATTCGAACTGCAGCTGTGAAGAGGCCTTTTGCAGAAAGAATGGTTGTTTTTTTGGTGCTTAGCAGACAGAAAACAACTTAAACTGTTTACTAATGGATAGTGACTTCAAACCTGAAGTAGCTTAATCACAATTAGGTGATATAAAAGCGTGTTAGTTGTCATTTGTCAGCTCTAGGTATGCTTTTAGTATTCTAGCTGGGGATTTGGTACTAATTTTGGTGATGTTCTTTAAAAGTAAATTTAATCATTATATGTTTTCCTCATGAAGTTGTGTTTTTTCTTAATTGCATTTGGCCAATTGTTGGGGAGCAGTAATCACAATTCACAGACTCACTCTCACACACACACACACACACACACACACACGCACGCTGATACACAATGCCTTTAATGAATTAAAGGATTCTTTCAGAGTAATTTGAATAAATCATCAACATAAATATGAACTTCTGCCCCCAGTAGCCCCCACATAGATGTCCACACATTTTTGCATGTAAACGTGCTAACCCATTCAATTTTTAGTTGTCGTTTTTGTGCCTCTGAATACGAAAACCCGTTCATCAATGCTCAGATTAGATCCTAATCATATGATTTCCATTCCACCCAGGAGTCCAGCATTTGTCTATAGTCCTTCTATCAATACCTTCCATATTTGTTAGTGCCCGGCCTAATTGCTCACAGAGGTTGGATTGTTTGTGCAAAGTGAGAAATGCACAATCCTCAAGCCAAACAAACAAATCAGATTGAACAATATTGGCTCTCTGGTAGCTGTGGAGGCACAGTAATAACTCACAACAAATATGGCCTGAGGAAGGCAGCTGACGTGACTCGGCAGATTTTTAATGGATGAAGATTAACAGTTTGACAGAAATAAGATGCACCCATCCTTCGCCATATTGGAGACTACCCTCCATTTCAAACTTTAGATGTGTTGTAGAAATACTCCATTAAGAGTGTAAAGTCTTGAATAGCAAAAGTCCTCATTAAGTAGTATAATGGCCCCTGCAGTTAACAGTCACATTCTGTCCATCCGGTACTTTAAAAAAAAAAAAAATTTCCTTTACCAATGTCATCACCTCCTGTGTGCCTTTGTTGTATTCACGGAGTAAAGTGATTCTTCTGCTGATTGCAATGGAAAAAAATGCAAACATTAATGGCACAGACAACCACCTGCGTTCACTTAAACACCCCCACACTAAATAACAACGTCTGTTTCCTGACATTTAAGTCCCAGGAGTCCTGATGATATGTCAACATGTCTTTCCATCAACCCCAGCATTACTGCCAAGCCGCAGAATAATAAACCCAGCCAGCTTGATGGCACGCACTAAATTCCCACTCCTAAAGGCTGACCAAAGCCCCGACCTTAGCTATTCTCAGACGAGCCTCAAGACGGTGGCTGCGCTCGAGAGACGTTTCCAACATTTTAGCCTTTTACTAGTGCCAGGGGCACCAGGAGATGAAGGAGGAGAAGAAGAGGAGGGGTGACGAGGGAGGGGAGGGAGGCGACATTGATTTGCAGTAGAAAAGCTGAAGGGAAGTGTGGGAGTCTGCCTTGAATGTCACCAGACATCAAGCTGTCTCTTCTGTACATCAAAGCAACGGAGCGTGTTTGCGCCAATTGATCAACTGTCCACAGTACTTCAGTGACACAATCCTAATATCTAATTGATAGATCGAGATACTGTTTTCTAATGTTTTTCAGAGGAGCTGGGCTTTTTTTTACTGTCATTGTGATATATTTTCATTGGTTTGACAAATTGCTTTCATCAGACTTTCACCATCACCCATGACTTGAAGCTTAATTTGTATCGTAAAGAATGAAAGTCCTCAGTGTAGCTCCGTGTGCAGGCCTAAATTCTGCCCTTTGGCTGAAGTGGTCTTTTCATTGATTCTCAGGGCATCTTGGGGCACAGCAGGTATTTCATAGTCATAGTGAATAGTAATAGAAACCTATAGAACGGTGAGGAAATCTGTCACAGACGAGGCCCTGACCACTGTCTGCTACGGCAGCACCTGTGGCGGCTGCATTGATGTCCGTCACATCAGCCAGAGGAATATCTTTTCGATCTTGTGGCTGGTTGGTCATGACTTCAATTTAAATCGTTAATGTTAGCAGTCTAGGAACCTCTATTGTTCCACTCAATAAAATAACTCTGCATAAGACAAATAGCTCGAAGGATTCTATTCAAATGTCCTTCGGGGTCCTATGATGTGATTGATACTGTAGCATACTGAACTAGTCGGGGAAATGGCAGAGACATGTTTATGAGACAGCCTCATTGTGCCGCCCTCTGGTATTCCCTCGTCTCCGCCTGGCGCTGTGAAGCACAGCTAATTTTGAAGTTGTCAAGCGGAATAATTACGTTACAATAATGGCGTTTTCTTTTTCTGCTGTCTTTCCTCTGTCTCTCTCAGCCGGAGATGGACTCAAGGGTAAATGGAGTGTCCTCTCCAACTGTGCAAGATGGAGGGCCACTTACTGAGAACTCAGGTGAGACACTCAAGCTCGAAAGAGACTTGTATACTCCGACACAAACACACTCCCATTGATCTTGACATAGGAAGATATGGAGTTCAATAACAGGATCAGCAGCAGCTTTTAGCAGGTACACTGGTTCTCTGCAAATGGAAATGTGTTGCTCAGTATCTTATGGAACCATTTTGAAGAGTGTCTGTGGTAACTGAACCGTGTGTGTGTGTGTGTGTGTGTGTGTGTGTGTGTGTGTGTGTGTGTG